GAGGAACGTTCTGCTCAAGTCGCCCTTGCGATGGAGGTTCGGGTTGAATGACTAGGTTATAATGACTAGGTTTCATCATCGGACTCGCGCTCGGATTGATATGGTCAACGTCATCGTTACTGTCTTTACAGTGTGTACAATCGCTGAGGACTGAGGAAGCATCCAGAGCTGAAATTCAGTTATGGTAATGGGCGTTTAGCTTCCGACACGCGCTGTAATGGACCAATCACAACAGACCGGGCCATCTGGCCAATCAGAGCAGAGTAGGCTAACGGAAAGGAGGGATTTAGAGACTGAATCTTCGGACGAGTTCTTTCAAAATCATTGAAAAATGTGGTGATGTCTAATGTATATTATGAGAAAATTAAAGTCGGCATGAAATCAAATTTGACAAATCTTCTTTTTATATGTAATATTGTAGTGTTTATTATAAATGATTTATCTGTGCACTTCATTATTTTTTTTTAATTCATGTACCCTTATAATCTTTAATCAAATACATTACCCTTCCCTCCCCCCTTGAAACGACCTCTCTTCTCTTTCGGTCACGTGCAATGGCGAAAGGGTGCGGCCAGAGCCGATGAGGGTGCGGCTATCGGTGCACCGCCTCTCAGAGAAGATACATTCAAATCTGCCTCCATTTTGTTTGCAACGCCCAACCTCCAACGATCCAATCAATTCCCGAAGGACGAAATCAAGCCCCGCCCTACATTTTTTTCTAATTTCAGAACCCGTTCCACTCGGATATACGTCACAACAAGGAAAAAATGACAATCTCAACTTCCGTTTCATGCCGACTTTAAAGTGTTTTTTGACTCTTGATGCATGTAAACCTGTTGTAGGAGACCTCTAAAACAAAATTAGGAACCTTTAATATAGCATAATCGAGGCACTTTAAAAGAAATGTAAAAATGTAACATACATAGCATATGCTATATGCAAATAAAATATATTGCAACATGTAATTTCCAGAAATTAAAGAAATATTGTCCTGTCTAAAGCAGTTAATGGAAAATAAACAGATCATGGTACCATATTCTGTTTAAACTGCTGTGCCAAAGATTGGAAAAGGAGGACTACAGCTTTGATACTAAAAGCAACAGAAAATGTTGTGGTGAATATTAGCAATAGTCCTTTTTGTCATCCCTTGCAATGATGACGAGTACATCAAAAAACAGGCCATATTTGTATATATACATGGTTTGTCAGCATGAAATAAAAGTTGCGATAGTCTTTTCTTCCCTATTGTGACGTATATTCGAGTGAAACAGATTCTGGGATGAGAACAAATGTTGGGCAGAACTTGATTTCATCCATTTGGGCGAACTTGATTTCATCAATTTATTGGATCATATAGGAAGTTGGGCGTTGACAACTAAATGGAGGTCAGTTGGGATATTTAGTCCCACCCTCTGCAGAGACACGTCATGAAGAGAACAGGTGTTGTTTGGAGGGGAGATTATCGTTTTTAATTAAAGATTACGAGGCCATGTGAATTAAAAAAAATAATGATATGCAGCGATGAATCATTTATAATAAACACTGCAGCATAAAAAAAAAGAAAGAATTGTCCATTTTGATTTCATGGTGACTCTACATACTGTTTGGGGTCAGATATATATATTTTTTTTTTGTGTGAAAGAAATTAATACTTTTGGTCAGCAAGGATGCATTAAATTAATTAGATTAATCAAAAGTTATAGTGGAGACTTTTATGTTAAACAAGACTTCTATTTCAAATTAATACCGTTCTTTTTAATTTTCTATTCACCAAAGAATTCTGGAAAACAAAATTAGCACTGTTTACACAAAAATATTAAGCAGCCAACTGTTTTCAACATTTATAAATATAAGTGTCTTGAGCACCAAATCAGCATATAAGAATGATTTCTGAAGGATCATGTGACACCGAAGACTGGAGTAATGATGCTGAAAATTCAGCTTTGACATCACAGGAATAAATTATATTTTAAAATATATTAAAATAATATTTCACAATATTACTATTTTACTGTATTTTTAATCAAATTGAGCATTTAATGTTTCAAAAACTTTTTAAAAAGAGTTTTCTGACCCCTTATAATATAAGGTGATGGCAACAAACATTGGGTGATCACTTGTTTTCATGTCATCATGAGACCTGTTACATTAAAAAGACAGCTCCTACGATTTCTTTATTAACTAAACCAACATTTAAACAACGACTTCTTCTGTACGCACCATAAGGCTGTATATAAATAGCTACAAACCCAGTGCTTCCCTTGTTAGGCCTTAATATCCAGTTACAAACCACATAAACATCCAGACACAGATTAGAGTTGGGGACTGTTTTCAGCAGGGTCACACAATAACTAGATTTTTATCCAAGGTCATATTCCTAAAATGGTTAATCTCCATGATTCAGAAGCAGCAGCTTTTATGACCCTCTGCTGACCTGTTTAAAAGGGACCTTGTGGCTGTGAATCAGTATGCAGAGTATGACCGCAACATGTGCTGTCAATCAGCTACAGTTAAAAGATCTCCCCTTAGTGTAAGAATAAAGTTGATCTGTCCCTAAAGCCCTGCTAACCTTTATCAGACCAGTCAGATTCAGAGTAACACCACATCCAAGCTAATAAGAACATATTTGATGTTTAATATACAGTTGTGTATATGGATCAATGACATTTCACAGTGGGCGGGGCTAATCAATGCAACACCACAGAAAGAGTGAGGTTCTGTGAGTAAAAATCCCATTCATTTTCCATATAGTGGAAATGATTTTGAACAAAAACTTATAAACCTTTAAAAACAGACCTAGTGTAAGCAACAAGCTTGTTTAACAATGGTATGTGCTTTTGTTAAAGCCATCAACCTGCATTATTTACTTTCTTTTTTTAAACAATGTGTTTAACAGCAGAATTCCTGGTGAAAAACTACATTACCCATGATTCTGCAAAGAAAATCTCCACATATAAGTGAATCACACCAAAAACTTTAGTGTAGTAAATATATATACACTGCCCGGGCAAAAAAAACAAAACACTGCTTGCAGTGATTATTATGTTTCTGGCATGTTATATGCTTGGAAACAGTTCTTCTAACCCTAACTGATGGAGTGAGTAGCTTTTCACTTCTTAAACCACCATGTAGGAAGACACATCATGGCCATATTCCAGGATAACAATGTCAAGATTTATAAGGCTCAAATTGTCAAAGAATGGTTGGAGGGAGCATGAAGAATCATTTTCACACATGAATTGGCACCTCTGAGTCCAGACCTTAAATCCATTGAAAGTCTTTAAAGAGAAGACTTTACAGAGTGCTCGACTCTTGCATTGTCAATAAAGATCTTGACCAAAAATGTATGCACCTCTTGATGGAAATAAATGGCATGATGTTAGCATTTGCCCATTTATATATCCAAACATTTCAAATTAATACTGTTTTTTAGTACTGTTTACACAAAAATATTAAGCAGCCAACTGTTTTCAACATTTATCAATATGTGTCTTGAGCACTATATATCAATATATATCATAAATATTAATATATGTGAATATTTTGCAATAAAAATACATTGTTTTTATATATTGTTTAAATGTTCAACTTCTTTAAATCAATAAATTTACATTTTATTATTTCATTTGCAATGCTTCATGGGATTGTAGTTCTTTCACTCATTAAAGCTGTTAAGTACACAATCTTTTAGTTTTTGTCTGATTTTCAGATACATTTTTTGCTTCAAGTTCAAACTTTGCAATGATGTGATTCAGCTTGTAGTTGTTTGGTTTGGTTCATGGCTTATAACAAAAACTTTTTTCAAAATCCCACCAGAAAAATACTACCAGAAACGAGGCCACCAAAAACACGAATGCACTCTATAGAAACCAAACAAAAACTCCTGTCATGATTGCAGCTGGTTAGAACAAAAACCTTCATTGATATGAAAGATTTATCGCTTGTCACCTTATCAAGTTGCACCAGTTTAGAACATAGTGTAACAGAACATGTTCTAGAACGTGGAGTTTAAGATACACGTTTCACGTCATAATGAGAATAGTTAAAGTAGGCATAAAGCTGAAATACTGATGATAATCTCCTTACAAGTTTCACCAATGAAATGGAAGTAGTGACAGGTCTTTTTTTTCTTCAGATTATCTGTTGATTGGACTTTGAGATGTGGGCGTTGCACTCAAATGTGGAGGAAGATGAAGGCAAGCCTGTGGGGTTTAGGTGGACTAAGAGAGTCACCAGAGAGAAGCTCCAGTTATGACATTTTGATTAAACATGATCAGGTTCTGTCATGAACAGTTCTATCTGATCAGATTCAGAAAATGGGGTGAATTTAATTTCATGCTGACTTTTAAGCATTCATTGTGACCATGTCTGCTATTGGTCTGTCTTTTGATGACTTTTTAAATGTAATTTTAGTTTAACCTCATGCTGATATTACTGCAAACATAACAAAACTAACAATCATGAGTTTAAAGAATGGTTCACTACTGATGTAAACATAAAAACAGCATTGCTTGATAATAGGTGGTAAACAAGTAATTTACATTAAACAAAATAGTAATCAGCTCTACTTTGAAAACAATTTAAGGCCACTGATTTCACCCATTGACAGGCGACGGACAGTTCCAGGCCCACTAATCGGATGATGCTGATGAAATCTGAGGTGTTGAGAAGTGAGTGAGTAAATTGTGACTGTGGGATGTGGGTGGTGAGAGTCACAGGAGGAGAGAATCGAGCAGCATGTGAGTGTACGTCTCTCTCCATGCTGAACGTGGGACGGCGTGTTCTGACTGCATCTGCACGGAGATGAATCAGTGGGTGTGTTTGTGTCACGCACACACACGGCGCAGATATAAAGTCTAATTTAGAAATCACTCACGAGTGATGTGTGTGAATCATGTTCATGTTGGGACCAATCACACTGTACATACAGTGCACACTAATAGATCCGTCATGATGCTAATGAAATCATATTTGTTTTCGCAGAAACTAGGTGGAAGTACCTGCTGCTGCAATTTTTCTTGCTTTTGATTTTTCGTTTTAAGCCATCCCTCTCTTTGTTGCTGGTGAAGGGTAACATGGAGGCATAGCCGTGCTCCGCTTCTGCAAGTTCAAACAGAGACATTTAGAAGCTCATTAGACCACAAAGCGCATTGACTACCTGAAAATCAAAGCGATTGATTACAAATATTGACAATTTTTTTTAGTTCCTGGGAGAAAAGCGGTTATTGTATAAAACGCAATGGGACCATTTCTAGACAAATGTCTTGCTTTTGGGTCAATGATGTCATCTGAACTGGAGTAAACCCAATAGCCAGCCGAACCACAACAGATAGGGGGGGAAGGGGGATGCACAGGAAACCCTCTACTGTAAAACCAACAGCAGTGCTTGAAAAATGCATTTCACTTCCACATATGCACACAAATATGTCATCAAGCACCATTAAAAATATATAAATATGCCATATACGCTTGGGTTTTATCCCTAGAGTGTTAACAACACATTAGTGTCCCCTGTGAAAGACAAGTGTATGGTGACTGACCAGCACAGTCTCAGACAGCTGAAGTGGACACTTCTCGATGTCTAAATCTTCCCCAAATATCATAACAACGGAAAAACCCCGTCTGCATTTCATTCACTTATAATAAATAGGTCGAAGCACCATTTTTCTCTATTTAGCAAACAAGCACCTTAGCAACAGTGTCAGGATTAATTTGCATGCCAAAATATCATTATGTGTATGTGTGCGTGCATGCATATAGATATAGAATAGATATATCGTATTACGTCACTTTACCTCTTTCTCTTCGATCAAGATATTCAGCTGCTTCGATCAACATCTGCAGTTTCTCAATAGCCGTCATTTTAAGCAGAAAGCAACGATAAAAAACGACAATCCGGGTCAGAAATAAATGAGATAAAACAAAAACAAGCAGCAGCCTTTCGTTCCTTCACGGTTCTTCTTCCTCCAGCGTATAGAGTAAAAAAATCCAGTCAGACGAATTTACTAAATAATTTGTACAAGGCAGCGAGGGAAATGTTTAGATATGGGGCTTGTTGATAAAATGTGCGAAAAATTAAAATGAGGAGAAAGAAAAATCTAACAAATAAACACGCTGGTTTCCAAATAGCTGGATGATAAAAAACCGAATAAAAATGTCACTCAGCTGCCAAAAAAGAACTAAATTAACTAGTCCTGTTCATATTAAACGAGACATTGGACATTAAATGTTAAAATTGTGAGAACACGACACGAACAACAACAACAACAAAAAACCTTCCAGGTTTGCAAAATCTGGCAACTCTTCCTGAAAGCATGTAAGTGGTGACACTCAGGAAGGTCTAAAGGCTTTTATAGATGATCTGTCAAAAAGATAAGATTTTTAGTTCTGCACTTGGTCAATTTTTAGGCTCTGATATTGACAGCAAACGCTGCTAACAAGAGACCATCGTTGAGTCTGGAAAAAAATACTGGATTGACAGCTCGGTCAAATCGATCTGATGAGGGTACTGGTTGCCAGATTGTATAAATTGACACAAAAAGTGTATTTGCGCAGCTGGTGATATTATGTTTTGTTAATAATCTTTGAGCTTTGGTGCTGGTAGGAAAACAAACAGCGTTCAACCCCAATTCCTTGTTGTTGTTGTAAAAAAGTAGTAGTCAATAGGCAATATTATGTTGTATAATAAAAAAGAAAAAAATCTTGATTGATCGTTGAAAAAGAAATGTGTTGAAAATAGGCTTTAAAATAAAGTACACGGCCTCGAAAAGTCCAAACAATCGCTGGTTCCGATATTTCAAGCGTGACAGACGATCTGGCTACTTATTAAAAAGCTCTAGTTGCACATGCTAAGTTGTGGCTGTGTGCAACTGAGGAAAATTAATCAAAAATAGGACAAAAACACACAGCTAGCGAAACCATAACGTCGTTGAGCCAGGCAGATGAGATGTTTGCTAGCTGCTGTCATGTTACTGTGTATGCCTGTCAGGAGCTCTGGAGAACACGCGATTACTATTGGATGGACGATACAGGAAGCGATCATCTCATTGGATGATTTTGCTGTCAATCTAACTGCTCGTGTCTACAAAGGACCAATGGCTGAGGTGCATTATAAAGCGTGAATATATGACTGCTGTAATGCGATTCCGCAAGATAATGGTGCAACTAGCATCACTGTAGCGCCATTTTGGAGCGAAGGTACAACCTGTGCCGTAGTATTCTGGCATTTGCTCCTGAGCCAAAATGGATTATTATGCAAATCGTGTATTGTTGTTATGCTATGATTGGCTGGACAGCCACAGCACTGTCGCCTGTGATTGGACGCCTTTAAAATGTTCCGGAACTCATAACAGACACACCTCCGTTGAACATGCTGATAGATAAAATGACTTCACACGATTTGTACGTTTTAAACATATAGCAATGGAATTATTATTTCTTCGGTTGTTTTTAGACCAATTAAACACCATTAAAATATGTGATAGCAATTTGATTGTCATATATTTTTCAATAAACACAATTACGCTAAAATTGCACAATAACAAAATAATGGACAAAAACATTCATCAAGAGTTCCCATTTATTAACTACTGCAATGTTTTTGCTAAATAAGATATTCAAGGAAATGTATCCACAATATCAAAAAATTAAAATGAGCTACTACAAACTAAACTACACTTACATCACAGCTATCGACTGAAAAACAAAACATATGGAAAAACCACTGGAACACATATTTACATAAACTCAGGAAGAAAAAGAAATATACATTTCATCAAAAAGACACAAGTCGTTAAAACATGGTTCCTGACGACTCCATCAAGCAATGAAATCCAAAGGTCTGTTGAAACCACCTTTCCTGTTCATGTATTGCCTGCAAGAGAAATATGATTACATCATTGATCGCCTTCCTGCACCAAAACATTACATCACTGCCCACCAATGAGAACGTTTGTCATTTAGTTGTGCAGTACCTGCAGAGGTGATTGGCCAAATACGGTGCTGTTGCTGGGATATTAACTTAAGTTAATTTTCTTAACACAAATGCCGTTTATATAAGTATAAAACAAAAGGATAAAATGACAAAATAAAGCCAGGAATTACAAATCACAGAACTCGTATCATCAAGTGGAGGATCTGGGGTTCGGGCAGATGAATTATTTAATCTCAGAAAACAAATACTGTAAATACACATACCTGTATTTTCTCTTCTGCGACACGTTAATTGCAAACGAAGCAACATTTCCTTCCTTCTTTTTGCCCTGTTGATAAAAAAAAATGACAATCATACACCATACATTATTTTTTAAATGATGTAAAAATAACTGCATTAATAAAAAATAGGGAAGAATATTACAGCACAGAATATTTAAGATTTTCATCTTCAAGTTAATTTGGTTTTCAACAGGAATATTTTTAGCATGCACTCTGTCTAGCTGTGCCATCTTGTGGTTATTTGGATGATCAGCTTTACCATTTAAAAAAAAAAGAAGAAGCTGCAAGCAGCTTTGTGGAACAGTATGTACGTTTACCCATGATGACCAAATGCCAAGACAGTGGCCATGCATACTAACATACTAAACTATGTGATTGACAACAATACAAAATACATGACATATCACAAAGTGCAAAGAACATCTCGTTTGGTCATTCTTGTAGGATGGATTGTAACATGATTTAGCAGTAAAGAAAGTGACCTCACCTTTGTGCTGTCAAAGGATCCAAAGCCCATCAGTTTCATCATCTCGATTTCCTCTTCAGTCTTTCCCTGCATGTCCTCAGCTGCAGGAGCAATCAGATGAGAAAGGACATCAACTTATAAGTGCCATGCATTGGGTACATTCAGAGTTTGTTCTCAGCATCGTGATATCAGAATGAAAAGATATTCAAGCTCACAACCCATTTTACTTCTGTATATTGACCCTTTTGACTGAGAAGTGTAGGCTGAAGGTCATGTTCAAGCATGAGAGCATCTTAAAGAATGAACACTATCATGCAGTCTGGATTCAGATAGTTTTTTACTTTTATTCAGCAAGGATAGGCATTTATTATGTTACAAAAGGTTTCTATTTTAAATAAATACTGTTCTTTTAAACTTTCTATTCACTGAAGAATAATGCATCACAGTTTCCACAAAAAATATTAAGCAGCACAACTGGCTTCAATATTGTTGAGAAGAAATGTTTCTTAAGCAGAAAATCTGCATATTAGGATGTTTTCTGAAGGATCACGTGACACTGAAGACTGGAATAATAATGATGAAAATTCAGCTTTGCATCACAGGAATAATTTATATTTTAAAAATATATTCAAATAGAAAATGGCTATTTTAAATTGTAATATTATTTTACAATATTACCATTTTTACAGTATTTTTTTGCAGCCTTGGTTAATCGCTATTACTGCCATAACTTTTATTACATTATTGGGAACTGAATTACTGTGGTTGAACTATTTGAAAGATTTGTTGATTAACATTATTCAAATTTTTTCGCATGGTTTAAGGTGGTTCAGTTATTTTCGAGGCAAAGCAAGTTATAACATTTGATGAATGATTATGAAAGACTACCTTTTCTTTGGAATAACGTGAACGGATGAATCAAGCACAATACCGGGAATGTGTAGCTGACCTGAGGGGGTAAATACATTTCGCTGCCCATGCACAATGTGTATGTGACTCATTTTATATTTTAACTTTATTAATAAAGTAAACAGTGAATATTGATGGGTCATTTATTTTAAATTATTTTCTCACCTTCCTGAAAAAAGTTTGTGTATCACTTTGCTTTGACTGTTTTAACAATTCTAATTGGGAAAATCCAAAGATGCAGATAATGCCGGGTTCACACTACACGATATCAGCCTGATAGTGGCGCAATTTATTTGACAGGGTTTTGTGGTGATTTGTAAACTAGAATGGGGGCAGAGGATGCAATAATTGACTGTTATTATCTCGTATAGTGTCTCATAGTGGAGAAATTTTTTTTATAAGCATGTTTCATGACGAGTTCTGTCACATCTGTGACATTGACCAATAGGAGCAGAGAAGCTCTTCCGTACACAGCTTTCAAACATGGCGAAACGAGAGAGAGATTATGGTATTGGCGCTGCTAGTTGGAATAATGCAATTTTCTTTCTTTTTTTGGTCTTTCTGATGACAAGACAGCCAGTACACAGCGATTCCGCAGCCGTTGTTTGTTTACACTTGTTTCTAGTCGCTAGTTCCGCCTTCTCGATGACATCACGGAGGTCGTTAAAGACGGCAAGCGATGATTAGTTGGGAATGTTGTAGTCTGGCATGTTCTTGTCCACGACATAATTCATTATCTGACACAGTGACTATCATAACAGACAGTATTTTTGTAGGCTAAAACCCAGAAACGAGTTTGCATTTCAGCACTTTCGGTTCCATCATTCTGAAGTTAATGGGTTTTTTATGGAGCGAATTATGTGCCAAAATTAAACAAACAAATCCAGCATTTTGCAAACAAACTCAATCTGCTTTGCAAAGGAAAACTCGACTCGCAAACAAACAGAAAGCAATTTGCAAAAACAAAGGTCAATTTGAGCGAAAATGCAGTGGAGTAACCAATATTGTGTTTTACAAATATAAATAACTGATCCTTGATAATATTTCACAAATAAATACAAACCATCCTACAAATTGCATGTAACCTTTGAACAAATACCAAATCTAGTGCATACAAATGCATATCTGTCTGTTATGATTGTGAGATCTCTCAGCTCGATTTTCTCACAAATGTGTCCAGGCAGATTTTCTCCTAAATGCAGATGAGTAACTTCCTCTTCTAAAACAGTAGATGGCGCTAAAATAGGGGATTCATTTAGCGCTAGTCTCCCGGGAGAAGCGCTGATTTGAAACACGCTTGCCTTTGCCTACAGCTGAGGAAAAAGTTACTGTCTTTATTTATAATAAACACCTTGAGGTTTTCTTTTGCAAAATGTTTATTACAAGGCCACAGGGCCTTTAACATTGTTGAGGACAAAATGCCACAAGGTAATTAGATCTGTGATTTTACACAGATATGAGAACGACAGACTCGTTCAGTGTAGACATAATCACTAATTTAGTCATTTCGCACGCGTCCAATGAAGAAGAAAATGCAAAAAGCAACATTTGATGGCAGAGCTTTCAGCTTAGATTCCCAGAGAGAGTGAACTTCACACATGAATGTTACGTAAATTGTATTGGCCTATTTTCAATAAAAAATTGTGAAATTAGTCAATTTTATTAGTTTGCCTGATTATTTTTTGTTGGCCACTTAACATTTCTGTCTTAAAACAGCTGTCAGTTAAGAAATGTTTAGCTACGGTACTTGCATCTTACCTTGCGCTTTATGACCATTAACAAATTATCTTGATGCTGTGGAATATCCTTGCAGCACTAAAGTCGAGTTAATACTATATTAGGCAATAATTTCACAACCTTTATTATACACACTGATGAATAATGCATCATCTCACCTGTAGGCTAAGTCACCAAAAACCCTTTATAAAAATACAAATAATTGTGTACTGTAAATACATGAAGGGAGGTATTGGCACAATTTCACCTGTAGTAAGTCAAGTCTTACCAATAGTAACCTTCTACAAGCTTTGGAATTTGAAAATGTCTGTTTTTAAATGTTAAAAGTACTTTTAAATAATAAATTATAGGCTACGTTTACCGCAGTTGGTGGAATTGCCAGACGTTCCCATGCGCCGTGGAAGCGCGTCAAAGTATTCTCAGGTATAAATATGCAGCTATAGCGCACGTAGGGGATTTTTAATTAATATTCATGTCGATATACAATGGTTACTCATAGAACAGTGTAAAGGGAAAACAAATGTCCGGTGATCGTGAATACCGAACCTAACTTTACCGCGCTCAACCACCGTACGTGCATTTCACGCATTTGTAATGGCTTTTGCGTAGCTGTCAATGAAGGGACAGAAAGCTCTCAGATTTCATCAAAAAGATCTTTATTTGTGTTCCGAAGATGAACGAAAGAAATTTTTGGGTGAACTAACTCTTTACACCTTGAAAAAGGTGGTTGCTAACGAGTGGCTAAACGTGTAAGAATAAACTTTTGTTGGTCACAGAGCTTGTTTTCTGCAATAATCCAAAAGTCAATGGAAAAATCCTATTGGTTTTCTGGCGAGGGAATCAGGGTGATGCTAACTTCACTGCAGTAATTTTATTGTAGGATAAAATAAAGTGCTCCACCTGATATCTGATGGACCTTTGCTGGCTTGTCTTTAACTTCCTTCCTGTCATCGTCTCGCCTGTCCTTCTGCCGCACTGGAGACAGAGAGGAGGAGCGGTGTCGCCGTGGAGACCTACATAAACAAGACAGGCACACAGCTGGAGGAGGGGTTATCAAAAACTAAACATTGAGGAGCCCAGAGCTCCACTTTTTATCTAACCAGATTCACAGGCCTGTTATGTTCTTCACTAATGAAATGTGTGTACAGCGAGTGTCTGATGGCACAAGCTCACCTGGATCTACGCCTTTGGGGAGAGCGTGAGCGCGACCTTCGTCTGTCTCTGTCCCGGGACCTCTCGCGCTCCCTGCGCCTCCTCTCACGATCTCGTGAAGACGAGCGTGAACGCCGTCTCTCTGGAATGAGAAACCACAAAGTCGTTACCAACAAAAGGTTGGAACAAATTAAATAACCTTTATGTTTGAATATTTAATTTGCCAGCTGCCTGAAAAGTACATTGTACCCTTCATCTGGTTCTTCAAAAGTTTAACTGTAATTAATAAGCATTAGGATGAGGTCAACCAGTGTTTAAAAAAGCAAAACTGAATAATTACCATAATAAAAATAATATTCAATGTGCATATGACAATCTCATTACCACACCAGATTTTTTTTTTCTGATTAAACACTATTTTTTAGATTGTTTTTTTCCCATTAAAACTAATTAAAAGTGATATTCTAGTTTTTTCTATAATAAAAATAATTGTAATGCTATAACATTATGATAATTTTTTATGATAATTTGTTGCACTGTTTGTGAATTAAAATAAACATTTAAGAACAAAATCATTCTTTTATAGTTAGTAACAACAAGATGTTAATAAATAACATTCAAAGAAAAGAAATAAATCAATGTGACCTAAAAAGATACAGTTAAGCAACCAATGAAATGCTATAATGCTAGTTGCAAAAATGGTTATCTGTATTACATTGGGCTGTAGAAAATTTCAACTCGTAGAAAGAGCTTGATGAGCAAGAATAATTTGTATAATAAGTACAAGTATAATTTGATCTGTGTTTTTTTTTTGGGTGTAATTTAATGTGCGCCAGATGCGAAGTTAACAACAGTAGCCAGTCACACGTTAAGTTACCATCCATATATTTAAAGCAATAATTGAATTCAAACCTCGTCGTGGTGGTGGTGGTGGTGGTGGTGTTCGGCTCCTGCTTCTCACCATTATTGGATTAATATGAAGCAAACTCCTTTCTTTCAAACAGCGCTTTCACAAACTTGCAGAACATTCCAGTCTGCTGGTCGCCATCAACTGTGCGCCACAAAAAGCAATCCGGAAGCCTTCAAGCGTTCCGTGAAAATAGTTCCTACCCCACATTACGCCCCTTAGTGAAAATAGCTGCAATGTCAAATGAAAAGAAAATCATTATGTATTTGCTTTTCAGTTAAATACTTCGGAAAAACATTAACATCAAATATTAACTGGTTGCGACATATTTGTACTTGAAAGCAACCTCTTTAAAGTAGTTCACCTAATCAAATTCTGTCATCATTTGCTTACCCTCATGTTGTTCCAAACCTGTACGAGTTTCTTCTGTTGAACTAAAAAGAAGATATTTAGAAGAATGTTGGTAACCAGAGAGTTGATGGTAGCCCTTGACTTCCATAGTAGGAAAAAATAATAATAATATGGAACTTGGAAGATAATGGCTACCGACAACTGACTACCAACATTCTTTCAAATTTTTGGCATAACTATTCCTTTAACACGACTAGAAAAGAAATGTCACCTTTGATTTTCTCAGTCACAATTAAGTAGGCTATTGTTTTGAAATCCACCCCAAAGACAGTCTACAACTTCACATGGATGTGATCTTTAATGAATGGTACATCCGATCCTAGCATTTTACATTCTAATATTGACATGGAATTAAGTTTATAAACCGGCTAATATACACACAAATGCATTTAAATAACAGTGGCTGATCATAAAAATAATTACAACTGCAAAGAAGTCTCCGGCGCACATACATACAAAATAAAGATACTAAATAATAACAATTAAAAAAAACAAGTGGAATAAAGTCGTGCATTTAGTGTTGAATTTTCTTCATTATCTTGCTTATTTTGGCCTTTTGACATGTATTGTTTGCAAGCCACTGCGATCATGATTTCCAGTGAATGAAACATTTTCAATTAGTTTATCCCTGCTATTCATAACAAAGTGAGATGAAGGATGTTTATAGTGGTTAAAAAAGATTTTAGTCAACAGTAATGCCACATGTAATTATATAAACATGATAATGAGCAACAATCAGAATCGATAGACATGAACAATCAATGCTTACTCAATGCCACATTCTTTTTTTTCTATGCAAGTACTAAGTGCAATTCATTTTAAAGCAAGGGGAAGGATCATATTCAATGTGCATTAGTGAAGCATTGTGAAATTTGCATCGGCGTGGACAGAGTGGACCGAAAACATGTTTCAAGTCACAAAACCATAATCAGAAACTCGTATGGCATGTACAGATCAGTAAATGGATACACAGTGGATGTGAAGATGTGTTTGCGTGTAAGTATTAGTGAAGAACACTTCTGAGTTCAAGATTCTGCTTTCTCTTTTTGTTTCTTGCTTTTCTTTAGGAAACAGGGGGCCTTGAACTTCTTTTTTTTCTTTGAAGGAGATTTGGAAGGTGACCCCTCTGGGGTGTTTCCTGCAGGCTTGTTGGGCGGGGCAATGGGCGGGGCCGAGAGTGTGGTTTCAGAAGTGTCAGTGGTGGACAGAGCCTTCATTTGTTTTTCTAGCTCCTCCTGCTGTTTCTTCTCGTCGCCTTTATCGTTCTGCACGGCATCTGTGGTTTTCCCATCTGCATGCGAATGCAATTGAAATAAAAATGGGAAAGAAATAGCACAGTAAAAATAATAAAGAAAACAAAAGAAAAACAAAGCAGTTAAGCAGTTGTTTAGGGGTTAACCCGTGGCACAGAAGCAGCTACAGTTTTTGGCCAACATGCTCGTTCAAGTTGTGTGCAATGTCTTTCTATATACTCACTAGTGAGACAAGATCTCAGTACCAAACGATTGTCCTACAAATTATAATAGAGGGACAGAGACAGACAGACAAGGTGTGAAGACAGATGGAGGCTACAGTACAGAGCTGAAAATGTCACACATAAAAATAAAAAATGATGACAATTGAAATGAGAACACTGACACAGACTTGAATACAGACATCCCATGTCACTGTACATTACACTAACAGTTAAAGGCATCGTTCACCCAAAAAGGAAACTTCTGTCAGTATCATTTTTAGATTCTTCAAAAAATATTCATGGAAAATAACAGTATGGGTAACACTTTACAGTAAGGTCATTTGTTAGTCACAACGAAATCAAAATCAACCATTCTTATTTTATTTGTGGAATATTGCTGAATTTATTAAAAAGTATTTATCCGTGGACATTATTTAAAAAAAAAAAATCATGTGATCTCATTATCTTTAATCAAAATAACTTCCCCTCCCTCTTGCAAAACTCTTCTCTTCTCTGTTGACGAGTTTACTGGCGCGAGGGCGATATCGACGTCGACCAATAGCAAACCACAATCATCCAATCAATACCCAATGGACAAAATAAGGGCCTTTTCACTCAAATATACGCCACAATAAGACTATCGCAACTTCTGTTTCATGCCAACTTTAATATTAATGCATTAACTAATAATGAACAATAAATGTTTACAGCTTTTATAAACTTTTGTTAATGTTAGTTAATAAAAATCTTCATGTTAGTTCACATTGCATTAGCTAATTTTAACAGACACAACATTTGATCTTAAAAAAAAAAAAAAAAAAAAATATTGTTCATAGTTAGTTCATGTTGATTAATGTAGTAAACTAATGTTAACAAATCAAACCTTTTTGTAAAGTGTTAGCAATATTATGCACATGACAGAATAGTCATTTTTGGGTAAACTATTCCTTTAAGGTCATTATATAAGTATTGATACCAGATTATAAAATAAATCTGCATTAATCTACTTGAGCGCATATGGAGAAAAACTAACACTTTACATTAAGGTTCCATTTGTTAACATCAGTACATTTATTAATCTAAGTTAATTTAGTTCATTTCAACATTTACTAATACATTATTAAAAAATAAAAGTGTTGTCTCTGTTAACATTATTTAATGGACCTCAGCTTACATGAACTAAAGTTTAATTTTTTAACAAACAAAGATTATTAAATACTGTAAAAAATGCATTGCTCATTAATGCTAGTTAATGCATTAAATAACATTAAAATGGTACTTTATTGTAAAGTGTTACCGAAAAAAAAAAGCACTACTTTTTATTTCGCTTTTAGTAACAGGGGTTGTGATGATGCTACACACAGATCAGCAAGTGTGCCCATAGCAGGAGTTTCGGCAGTGTCATGTTCACATGCACAGGTGTGAGGGGAAGCATCACCGGGTCTCACCTGACACTGGGCTCTTTTTGGGGGAGGTAGTCGGGGAAGTCCCCGTGTCATTCACCACCTCCTCCACACCTTTTACACAACATCAGGGTAAAGGGAAGAAGAGGGGAGGAAACAGAAATAGAGGGAGATAAGGAGGAGTTGTACAGTGAGTAATAACCAGTGTTGAGAAGTCATTTGTTAAAAATAGCGTTGTAGCTAAATTAATAAAACATTTTTTGCAGTGTGAAAATAGCTCAGCTGATTTCAAAATAATGTAGCTTTTCTGGTAACAAGTTCATTTTTCCATTTGAGTCCATTTCCATTTCCATGCCGAATTAGTTCTCTATCAAGTGTAAATATATGTGTGTAATAAAATTGTGTTTAATTAAGATTCCTATCATTTTTGTACCAATAAAAAATACTGCCAAAAATAAATAAATATATATATATATATACAGTATAGGCTATATATACAGTATATGCAGTATCCTTCAAATGTTTGGGGAGACAGTAAATACATATTTTTATTCAGCAAGGATGCATCAAATTGAAAAGTAAAAGTAAAGACATTAATAATGTTACACAAGATTTATATTTTAAATAAATGCTGTTCTTTTTATCAATGAACCTAGGATAGATAGATGTATAGATGGATAGATAGATAGATGGATAGATAGATAGATAGATAACATAGATAGATCGATAGAAAGATAGATAGACAGACAGACAGACAGACGATAGACAGATAGACAGATAGATAGATAGATAGATAGATAGATAGATAGATAGATAGATAGATAGATAGATAGATAGATAGATAGATAGATAGATGGATGGATGGATGGATGGATGGATGGATGGATGGATGGATAGATAGATAGAACAATAGATAGATAGATAGATAGATAGATAGATAGATAGATAGATAGATGGATGCACAACTATTTTTTACATTTATATAATAATAATAGTAATCGTTTCTTGAGCAGCATATTAGAATGATTTCTGAAGGATCATGTGACACTGAAGACTCGAGTAATGATGTTGATTTTGTATTCTAATATTTCACAATATTACAGTTTCTACTGTTTTTTGATAAAATAAATTCAGCTTTGGTGAGGCTTCTTTCAAAAACATAAACAAACAAAAAAAGTTTACTTTAAGTCATGGGTAGTTTGTAGCTTGGCAAGTAACGTCCCCAACAATGGTAGTTACTGTAAAGGCATTCTTGGATTTGAGTGTGTGTGTGGGAAGGTTGTCAGACAGGACACAGTGCAAAAAGATCAGTGCTCAGGACAGGTGCTGAACCATGAAGAAATGATGTCGGGACACAAAACCTCAAGTTAGCAGTTTCTGGAAAGATACTGACATTCAACAACTTAAATTCATTTATTTTCAAGGCACACTTCAAAGTATTAAATACATGCATTATGTATTTCCTGAATTAAAATATATGTTGCTCCAAACGTTCATTCTTAAAAGTGGATAATAAAATAAAAAGCAAAACTTTGGTATTCAGTAGCGGTGACATCAAGTCAATATTTGTCTAAGGATGTGTACTGTATAAGACAGGCGGTGTTTATTGAATTCTCTTCTTTAATCCAGTGAGAAAATCAATAAAATATCAATACTTGGGTCAGAAATCAGTGGGTTACAAAACTACACTGTCTAAGTCTAGTTAAGACAGTGTCAGCTCGTACCGTCCTGCTGGCCGTGTTGTTTGCGCTGCACCTCCTTGCGGTATTCCTCCAGCTCCTGATCCGTCAGCTCATTGAAGGGATTCGGAGTCTCGGGTTCAGGTACGGCTGGGGGCTCGACGGTCTCTGGAG